TCCAGAGCGCCGCAAGAGCGATCCCTGCATGAATTGTAAGGAAGTCCCAAGCGAGAGCGCGATTCCTGAGTAAAATACGAGGAAGTCTCAGGCGGGAGCGTGGGTCCTGGCTAAATTATAAGGAAGTCTCAAGCGGGAGACGTTGTTGTTGTAATCCGGGGGCCAACAACGCAGTTTGACCCGACTGACTTTCCCTGATAAGAAACTGGGTGCGAGCCCTGGGGAGAAGCACTTCCACAACAAAAACAGCAACAAGAACAGCAACAGCAGCAGCAGCAGCAGAAACAACAACAACAAGAAGTTTAAGACTGTTCGCCCTTATCTGCTCGAGTGTCCAACAACGCGTATTTCCCAAACCCTCGATACCCACCCTCGTCGTCTTCGATCGAACCCCTTTTGGGGGGGTATACCTTTCTTCCCTGCAGACCGGGCCCCGGCAAGCGGCGGGGCGGCCACGGACCTTCGGCCTGGCCAGCGGCAGCGCTGATCGGCGGGGCGGCCGCGGACCATCGACCCGACCCCAAGAGGGACGGACAGGGGACCGACCACGACGACGACGACGACGACGTCGACGACGACGGCGACGACGACGACGACGGCGACGACGACGAGCGAGCGAAAGCGAGAGCGAGAGAGAACGACAGCAGGGCCACGAAGGACACGAAGTAGGCCACGAAGGGCGACAGCGGGGACACGAAGGGAATGCGTATGGGGCCACGACGAGCGCGAACGAGCGGGGGCCACGAAGGGCAGATAATGCGGGGCCACGGAAGGCAACGATGGGGCCACTGAGGGTAGCAACTGGGCCACGTAGAACAGTGAGGGGGCCACAAACGGCGACAGCGGGGCCACGAAGGGCATGCATATGGGGCCACCACGGGCGCGAACGAGCGGGGACCACGAAGGGCAGCGAGGGGGGCACGAAGGGATGCAACGGGGCCATGAAGGGCAGCGAGGGGGCCACGAAGGACTGCAACGGGGCCACGAAGGGCAGCGAGGGGTCCACGAAGGGCTGCAACGGTGCAACGAAGGGCGACAGCGGGGCCACGAAGGGCATGCATATGGGGCCACCGCGGGCGCGAACGAGCGGGGGCCACGCAGGGCATATATATATATATATATATACATACATACATACATACATACATACATACATACATACATACATACATACATACATACATACATACATACATACATATATATATATATACGGGTCCACGAAGGGCAGCGAGGGGGCCACGAAGGGCTGCAACGGGGCTAAGAAGGGGGCCACGAAGGACAGCGAGGGGACCACGAAGGGCTGCAACGCGGCCACGAAACAAAGCGAGGGGGCCTCGAAGGGCTGCAACGGGGCCACGACGGGCAGCGAGGAGGCCACGAGGGGCTGCAACGGGGCCACGAAACAAAGCGAGGGGGCAACGAAGGGCTGCAACGGGGCCACGAAACAAAGCGAGGGGGCCACGAGGGGCTGCAACGGGGCAACGAAGGGCAGCGAGATCCCGATTCCTATGTAACCTGTGAGGGAGTCCTAAGCGTGAGCGCGACTCCTGGGTGGGTGCCTGGGTGTCGGGATCGCGGCGCTTGAATAAATTGCAAGAAATTCCAACGCAAGGGCGCTATTCGTCAATACATTGCAAACAAGTCTCCAACGAGAGCGCGACTCCAGAGCGCCGGGAGAGCGATTCCTGAATAAATTGTGAGGAAGTCCCCAGCGAGAGCGCGATTCCTGAATAAAATGCGAGGAAGTCTCGGGCTGGAGCGGGGTTCCTGGCTTAATTGTGAGGAAGTCTCAGGCGGGAGCCGTTGTTGTTGTAACCCAGGGGCCAGGGGCCCAGTTTGAGCATCAAGACTTGCCCTGTCAAAAAACAAGGTGCGAGCGTCGAGGGGCACTTTGATTGAGAAAAACAATATGCACCAGAGGGGTGATCAACAATGTTTTTCTTCAGAAATTAGACTTCAACAACAACAACAACAACAACAACAACAACAACAATCACTTTACCCGAACGCTCAGTGTTCTCACCAGTGCCAGGATTTTCATGCGACGCCAGCCAATACCCCCACTTTGTGGGGGGGCATGCAAGCTCTACCAAATATCCACACGACTCTTCGCCACCACCCACACCCAGCTTCCCTCCCTTGACGTTCGGACACTTCACTTCGTGGCCTGCGGACGACCGTGGCTACTACACTGGCGTGGAGTACACACCCACAGAAGTTGTTAAGCCTACGTTCGTACACCCACAGAAGTTGTTAAGCCTTGTTAACCCACAGAAGTTGTTAAGCCTTCCACAGAACATCTGTTGCATATGATGCATATGGTACATGATACACATGATACACATGATACGTACTCACAAGATAGTTGATCACATCTTTAGGGCAAATTCCTGAGGGATGTGGGAATACACAAGAGAGAGAGGATATGGTTGTCCCGATGGTTGTCTCGATGGTTGTCCCGATGGTTGTCCTGATGGTTGTGGTTGTCCCGATCGTTGTCCCGATGATTGTCCCGATGGTTGTCCTGATGGTTGTGCTTGTCCCGAATGTGTCCCGCATGGTATTATTTGACAGGGATGATGGCCCTGGCAGGTGCGCAACCGTTGTCGCAGAAGTTCGAAAAAGTTGCTCGCAAAAGCCCGTTTGACAGAAATGTTTAAAAAGTGTTGGGTTTCCTACGAATCCGCAAGAGCGCGCGGGATGAGATTTTGACAATTTTTTGTTGAAAAACCATTGGTTTTTTTTTTTGATGTTTTTATGTTAAAATCGCTGCGAACACTAAGGTTTTGGAAGGATTTCGTCTTGCGCGCGCGAATGTCCACTTTACCTTATTTTTTGCAAGGGATTCTTGAAATTTGATTATATTAGAACAAGAAATGTCATTTTCTATTGTTTTTTGCAAGGGAAAGCGGATTACAACAAAACAACCGGATCCTGTACACACCCTCTTTTCTGAGGCTTCCTCACGAAAATGATGAAAATGTAGCTGCGGCCTAGGCGGCGCAGGGGGGGCGCGCACCAGGGGGCCCAACAATAATTATTCTTTAGAATAAATAATGTTCAACAGCAGCAGCAGCAGCAACAACAACACAACCACAACCACAACCACAACGACAACCACAACCACAACCACAACCACAACCACAACAACAACCACAACCACAACAGCAGCAGCAGCAACAGCAACAGCAACAGCATCAACAACAACAGCAACGACAACCACAACAACGACAGCAGCAGCGACAACAACAACGGCGACAACCAAAACAAGAAGAACAACAATAACAAGAATAACAACAGCCACAACAACAACAATTGCAACAACAGTCACAACAACAGCAACAAAGACGACAACAACAACATCAACAACAACAGCCACAATGACGACAACAACAAACACAACAACAACAACAACAACTGCACCATCATCAACAACAACAACAGCAGCAGCAACAACAACAACAACAACAACAACAACAACTACTACTACTACTACTACTACTACTACTACTACTACTACTACTACTACTACTACTACTACAACAACCATTTTAAGGCTGTACGCTCTTACTTGCCCGCGAGTCATTCAACACGTATACCCTACACCCTCGAAACCCGCCCTCTTCGTCTTCGATCACACCCCTTTCGGGGGGATTATTTCTCTTTGCTGGGGCCGGCGGGCTTAGACGTACGGGCAAACCGGAACGGGCGGACAATCCTTCGGGGGCGTACATCTCTCTGCCCGCCATTGGAATTGGCGCGGGCCCTGCAAGAGGAGGAGGGGAAGAACGAGGGAGAGTGGGAGGAAGGGGAGGGGGAAGGACGAAGGAAGAGGGAAGATACCACGTTGTGAAGGCGTCCTTGGCGCGTGCGTGGTTCCTGAGCGCCGAAACGCAATTCCAGAATAATTTGTGAGGACGTCGCACGCGAGAGCGCAGTCCTGAGTACATTGTGAGGAATCTCAGGCGGAAGCGGGGGCCCTGACTAAGTTGCGAGGAAGTCTCAAGCGGGAGCGCCGTTCCTGAGCAAATTGCACGGAAGTCTCAGGCGGGAGCGGGGGTCCTCACTAAATTGCGAGGAAGTCTCAGGCGGGAGCGCCGTTCCTGAGTCAATTGCGCGGAAATGTCAGGCAGGAGCGGGGGTCCTGAGTAAAATTCGAAGAAGTCTCAGGCGGGAGCGCCGTTCCCACGTAAATTGCACGGAAGTCTCAGGCGGGAGCGGGGGTCTTGATTACATTGCGAGGAAGTCTCAGACGGGAGCGCCTTTCCTGAGTAAATTGCGCGGAAGTCTCAGGCGGGAGCGGGGGTCCTGAGTAAAAATCGAGGAAGTCTCAGGCGGGAGCCGTTGTTGTTGTAGCCCGGGGGGCAGGGGCACAGTTTGAGCAGGAAGACTTTCCTTGAGAAAAAACAAAGTGCGAGCCCCGGGGGTGGCACTTCAATCGAAAAAAATCGATGTGCACCGGTGGGGGGGGATCAACAATAATTATTCTTCAAGAATGAGAGTTCAACAACAACAACAACAACAACAACAACAACAACAACAACAACAACAACAACAACAACCTCCTCATCCTCCCCCTCCTCCTCCTCAGGCTCCTTCACCTCCTCCCCCTTCCGCCTCTCCCCGCCCCGAATTCCCCTCCTCCCTGCCCCGTCCCCTGCTCCTCCTCCTCCTCCTCCTCCTCCTCCTCCTCCTCCTCCTCCTCCTGCTCCTCCTCCTCCTCCTCCTCCTCTTCCTCCTCCTCTTCCTCCTCCTCCTGCTACTCCTCCTCCTCTTCCTCCTCCTCCTCGTCCTCCTCCTCCTCCGCCTCCTCCTCCTGCTCCACCTCCTCATTCTCCTGGACCCCCGTTTCCCTCATCTTCCCCACGTCCTTCTCCTCGCCCCTCCTCTTACCCCCCCACCGTATACTTTCTGAACATCCTTCCCCTCCCCCCATTCCCCCTCTTCCGCCACCCTGCTCCTCCTCCTCCTCCGCCCCATTCTGCCGCCCGTCTCGCCGATGAGCACCGGGTTGTTCTTCTGACGGCGCGCCAGGATCTGGATGGCCCGCTCGATCTCCTCCTAGGGGAAGGCTGGGAGGTGGAGGGGTCACAGTCACGGTCACGGCGGCGCAGGAGGGGCGTCGAGCCGACGGTCGCCGAAGGAGGAGGAGCGGAGCGGACGCACCTGCCATGCCCCACCGCCCACTGGATCGATGCTGTCAACCGCCACAGGAGGAACGAACGAACGACTCATCGTCGGAGCCCCGCGGAGTCGACCACACACGAACCTTCGCATGCAGGCTCTCGCTAAGGTTATCTTGACAATCTGTCAGTTCGTGCCAAGGCCCTTCAGTCGCGATCGAGCAATGCCTCAGGAGGAGGAGGAGGAGGAGGAGGAGGAGGAGGAGGAGGAGAGGGAAGAGGGTGGAGGAAGTGAAGATCATGAGGAGTTCGCGCGGGACTTGAGAGCTCTTGGGTCCTCAAGGGCTCGTGGGGGGCCCTGGGTCTGGTCCTGTGCCTCGGCGAGGGGTAGCAGGAGCACGACGGGGGGAGCAGGGGAAGAGTGAGGAGAGGGATAAGGAGCAGAAGCAGGAAAAGGATAAGAAGAAGCTTCAGGCAATTACGGGGCAAAAATCCCCTGAGACGGCTCAAGATGGCGTCTAAGATTGTCATATTGGCCCAAGATGGCCTCCAAGATGGCCCAAGATGGTCCAAGTTGCCTCCAAATTCGCCGAAGAAGCCACCAAGACGGCCCAAGATGGCTCCAAGATGCCTCCGAGCCCGCCCAAGAAGCCTCCAAGATGGCCCAAGACGGCCCAAGAGGCCCCTAAGAGTCTCCAAGACGGTCGAGGAGGCCTTCAAGGGGGCCTCCAGGAAGGCCCGAAGAGGCCATAATCATTGATTGTCCTCCGGTGTTTGAAGGATTTTAGCATTTGTTTCTTTTCGGCCTGCCGACGGCCCGAGACGGCCCAAGAGCCCCCAAAGCCCAGGAACGCCCAAGAGGCCTCCAAGATGGCCCCAGAACGGCCCAAGAGGCCCCAAGAGGCCACCAAGACGGCCCCTAAGAGGCCTCCGAGACGCCCAAGATGGTCTCCAAGACGGCCCTGGAGCACCCCAAGAGGGCCCCAAGTCGGCCCAGAGTAGCCCCCAAGACAGCTTCCAAGGGCGTCAGACGGGCCAGGAGGCCATCAAGACGGCCCAAGAGGCCCCAAGGAGGTCTCCAAGACTGCCCAAGAGGCCTTCAAGAGGGCCTCCAGGAAGGCCCGAAGAGGCCATAATCATTGATTGTCCTTAGGTATTTGCAGGATGTTAGCATTTGTTACTTTTCGGCCTGCCGACGGCTCGCAACTGCCCACGAGCCCCCAAAGATCGCCTCAAGATCACCCAAAAGGCTCCCAAGATGGCCCCAGAGCGGCCCAAGAGGCCACCAAGACGGCCCCTAAGAGGCCTCCGAGACGCCCAAGATGGCCTCCAAGACGGCCCTGGAGCACCCCAAGAGGGCCCCAAGTCGGCCCAGAGTAGCCCCCAAGACGGCTTCCAAGGGCGTCAGACGGGCCAGGAGGCCATCAAGACGGCCCAAGATGGCTCCAAGATGGCCCAAGACGGCCCAAGAGGTCCCCAAGAGGTCTCCAAGACTGCTCAAGAGAGCTCCAAGAGGGCCTCCAAAAAGACCCGAAGAGGCCAAAATCATTGATTGACACTAGCACGAGTTTAGCATGTGCTTCTTTTCGGCCTTCCGGAGGCCCTAGACGGGCCAAGAGACCCCAAAGATCGCCCCAGGATCGCCCAAGAGGCCTCCAAAAGGCCTCCAAGAGGCGTCCAAGGCGCCCAAGATTGCCTCGAAGACGGCCCTGGAGCACCCCAAGAGGGCCCCAAGCCGGCCCAGAGAACCCCCAAGACGGTTTCCGAGGGCGTCAGACGGGCCAGGAACGACCTAAGACGGCCTCCTCCTCCTCCTCCTCCTCCTCCTCCTCCTCCTCCTCCTCCACCGCCTCCTCCTCCTCCTCCTCCTCCTCCTCCTCCTCCTCCTCCACCTCCCCTCCTCCTCCTCCTCCTCCTCCTCCTCCTCCTCATTTTCCCCTCCCTCCTCCTCCTCCTCCTCCTCCTCCTCCTCCTCCTCCTCCTCCCCTCCTTCCTCCTCCACCTCCTCCTCCTCCTCCTCCTCCTCCTCCTCCTCCTCACCCTTCCTCCTCCTCCTCTCCTCCTCCACCTCCTCCACTCCTCCTCCTCCACCTCCCCTCCTCCTCCTCCCCTCCCCGCCTCCTCCTCCTCCTCCTCCTCCTCCTCCTCCTCCTCCTCCTCCTCCTCCTCCTCCTCCACCTCCTCCTCCTCCACCTCCTCCTCCCTCCTCCTCCTCCCTCCTCCTCCTCCCTCCTCCTCCTCCTCTCCTCCTCTTCCTCCTCCTCCTCCTCCTCCTCCTCTCCTCCTCCTCCTCCTCCTCCTCCTCCTCCTCCTCCTCCTCCTCCTCTCCTCCTCCCCTCCTCCTCCTCCTCCTCCTCCTCCTCCTCCTCCTCCTCCTCCTCCTCCTCCTCTCCTCCTCCTCCTCTCCTCCTCCTCCTCCTCCTCCACCTCCTCCTCCTCCTCACACCTCCTCCTCCTTCCTCCTCCTCCTCCTCCACCTCCTCCTCCTCCTCCTCCTCCTCCTCTCCTCCTCCTCCTCCTCCTCCCCTTTCCTCCTCCTCCTCCTCCTCCTCCTCCTCCTCCTCCTCCTCCACCCTCCTCCTCCCTACCTCCACCTCTCCTCCTCCTCCTCCTCCTCCTCCTCCTCCTCCTCTCTTCCAAAGCCCTCTTTCTTTCGGGGAGGGGTACCCTCCCCCTCCCCAACCTGAAATGTTTTGGGGCGGGCCGTGAAAGGTTAGAGCGTCCTAGATAGCCCAAGATGGCCCCAAGAAATCAACCGATGCCCTAAAGATGGCCGACAATGGCTCAAGATGGCTTCCAACATGCCTCAAAGAGGCCCCAAGAGGGCCACAAGACGGCTCCAATACCTAAGGAAAACCAGCGATGTGTGCATTATCTCCCTTTGTGTCGCTTCCGATGCGCATGTGATGCCTGGAGATGGCCCCAAGATGGCCCAAAAGACCCCCAAAATGAGCCTAAGAGGCTCCCAAGACGCCCCCAAGAGCGCCCCAGATCGCCCCAAGAGCGCCCCCAGAGGGCCCCAAGGAGCGCTTTCGAGGGCCCCTGGGGGGTGGGGGGGGGTGCATGGGGGGGGGGCTAAACATCAGGACCCCTCTCTTTTCACCGACGCCCTCCGCGATAGCCAGAACAGGCCCTAGGGCTCCCAACAGGCCCCCGAGAGAACCACAAGAGAGCCCCAAGAGACCCACAAGAAAGCCCCAAGACGGCCAAAGACGGTCCCAAGACGGCCCCAAGACAGTCCAAAGAGCGCCCAAGGGCACGCCACGAGATCCACGAGAGACGGTGTGCCTCATCCTCCTCGTCCTCCTCCTCCTCATCCTCCTCCTCCTCCCCTTCCTCCTCCTCCTCCTCCTCCTCCTCCTCCTCCTCCTCCTCCTCCTCCTCCTCCTCCTCCTCCTCCTCACCTCCTCCTCTCCTCCTCCTCCTCCTCCTCCTCCTCCTCCTCCTCCTCCTCCTCCTCCTCCTCCTCCTCCTCCTCCTCCTCCTCCTCCTCCTCCTCCTCCTCCTCCCTCCCTCCTCCTCCTCCTCCTCCCCTCCTCCTCCTCCTCCTACTCCTCCTCCTCCTCCTCCTCATCCTCATCCTCCTTCTCATCCTCCTCCTCCTCCCCTTCCTCATCCTCCTACTCATCCTCCTCCTCCTCCCCCCCTTCCTCCTCCTCCTCTCCTCCCTCCTCCTCCTCCTCTCCTCCTCCTCCTCCTCCTCCTCCTTCTCTCGCCCTCCCGCGGGCCCCAGGGATGGCCCGAGGAGGCCCTCCAAGGACACCCCCTTGCTCCAAGAGATCGCTCTGCTCATCCTGGTTGTCCGCTTTGTTTCACTGTATGCATATCGCCGTCCCTTTCCCCGTCAGCACTCATGGGTAACGTTTCTGAACGGGCTGGTAGGGATACGTTTGGTACGCAGGCGCACGATGCGAGTCGGACGCCGGGCAAGCAGGGGCAGGCTGTGCCACCTGCGAAGGGAAAGAAAGAGCTGCGAGCAACGCCGGGGCGAGGCGGAACTCAGCGCGGCCAAAATGGCGCGAAGAGGCGGAGCGGCACCAGAACCACGACCTAGGTGCCGAGCAGGAAGCCGCGCAAGCGAACCCAGAAACGAGAGTGGATAGGTCAACGCAGCTCCAGGACGGCCTTGACACGAGGCCCATCCGTACCCCTGGCAATCTTGCCGAACACGCAGTCCATGTAGGCGAAGGCGGGGCGGACGCCGCGCTTACCCAGAAAGGCGGAGGCGGCGAACCAGAACGCCAAACTTGCCGTACAGGTAGGACTCGAGGGGAGGACCATGCCGAATTGGTGGGACATGGGAGAAGGACAGGGATGTCGAGAGGTAAACGACCTCTAGGCCTCAAGAGGGCGATGTCCAGCACCGCGTAGAGGGCCGGAAAGGAACGGAGAACGTCCACACGCTGTAGACGGGCACGAGGGCGTCACCAGGGGGCAAGCCCCTTCGCGTAGATGTAGACGACCAGGTGCCGCAAGACGGAGAGCATACGGAAGCGGTCAAACAACGCGACCAGCCGCCCGGGCGCCCCGCGCGCCAAGACCCGGAGGCAGTGAAGAATTTCTCTTCTCTTCCTCCCATGTCCACGTCATGCGACGCAAAGTCCACACACTATTCGTCTGCACCACAGTCTAAACGACGACAGCGTACACGACATCCACGACGTCCGCGACGACGACGACGACGACGACGACAAAGAAGACGACGACGACGACGACGACGACGACGGCGACGACGACGACGACGACGATCTCGACGACGACAACGACGACGACGACGGCACAACGACGACGACGACGACAACGACAACAACGACCACGACCACGACCACGACCACGACGAGGACGACGACGACGACGACAACAACGACGACGACGACAAAAACGACGACGGCGGCGACGACGACGACGACGACCAGGATGGCGATGACCCAAATCCCCTCAAAGTCGGTCCCTGGACCCCTACCTGGGTCGATCCTGGGCAGATGTTCATCATGCACCAATCTGGGACGGCCTCGAGGCGCAGAGAAGCGCTCCAGAGGCCGAGAGTAGGGAAAAACAAGATTCGGTCCTCGAATCTCGAACGATCTACGACGACGACGACGACGACGACGAGGACATCGACAACGACGTCGACGTCGACGTCGACGCGTCGACGCCCGCTGCGGCGGCAGCGGCAGCGGCGGGGACGATGCGCCTCGCGGCCAACCAGCGGGTCCATCTCGCCCGCGGCGGCCAGCTCGGTGAGGTCCTGTTTCTTCTGTGACCCGCCCGGACGAGGACTACGGGACGCAGAAGGGCACACTAGTACGCGTATAGGATAACAATTCCGTGAGCATACCCGCGTCACGAAACACCACTGCTTCAGCAAGAAAGGTGCATCCAACATCATGATCCTCGGCAGCATAATGAGCGGCATCATCATCATCATCATCATCATCATCATCATCATCATCATCATCATCAGAATCATCAGAATCATCATCATCAGCAGCATCATCACCACCAGCATCATCATCATCATCATCATCATCATCATCATCATCAGTATCATCATCATCATCAGCATCATCATCATCACCACCACCACCATCATCATCATCATCACCATCATCGACTATGGCGCGCGTCGCCACTTTGGGGGCGAAGCACAATATAAGTATGATTGGATGAAGTCGAGACTACGAGAAAGGATCGAACTTCGAGGGACGAGGTTCGAAGGAAGAGATTCGTTTTGCCGCCCGTTCTGGGCGTCCGGGAAGCGCTGCGCCGCCACAGCTGGACTCGCCGCGAAATTCCAGCCAGAGCGCACCCCTGGAAAGGTTCGGGGGCGGAGTTTGGGAGAACAGGCCATTCTGGCAGTTTCCTCCGCTGGTCGCGCGCAAAAAAACTCTTCCAAACCGGATGCATCGACAGCATCCTAAACAGAAATGACCGAACATACAGAGGGTTCACTGTGCCTTGTCCTCTGCGCTGGTGGCAATGGTGGGGGCAGCGAAGGCGGGGTGCGTGCGTGTCCCCGCCCCTTTGAAGTTCACAAAGGTTCTTCACGTGGGGTTTTGAGGAGGAGGTCGTGGAAGGATAGTACACGCTACAGTATAGGGATACACCACGTCATATAAAGCATAACGCAGATGGCACAGCATTGGTCGCCCCATGGGCTGCACCACATAGATTGCACCGCGTACAGTGCACCACATCTATCTACATATATATATATATATATATATATATATATATATAATCAAGTGAGGGGGGGCGAACGGTCATTCACTGTCCGTGGTGCGTGGCTGAAGTGGAACCCGCGGTGCGGATTATCGTTGTTGTTGTTGTTGTTGTTGTTGTTGTTGTTGTTGTTGTTGTTTTGTTGTTGTTGTTTGTTGTCGTCGTCCCACCCGCAACCCGCCCCGCGACCCACCCGCGACCCACCCGCGACCCACCCGCGACCCACCCGCGACCCACCCGCGACCCACCCCGCCCACCCCGCGACCCACCCGCGACCCACCCGCGACCCACCCGCGACCCACCCCGCGACCCACCCCGCGACCCACCCCGCGACCCACCCCGCGACCCACCCGCGACCCACCCCGCGACCCCCCCGCGGCCCACCCCGCGACCCACCCGCGACCCACCCGCGACCCACCCGCGACCCACCCGCGACCCACCCGCGACCCACCTTCGACCCAAACCACGTTCAAGGTACAAACCACCATTTTCGGCGCCTGCGGCGGGCTTTTTTTTTGCATTCCTTCCAGGTGGAGATCCCGCGACCCACCCCGTCACCAACTCGCGACCAACCCGCGACCCAAACCACGTTCAGGGTACAAACCACATTTTTCGGCGCCTGCGGCGGGCATCTTTTGCATTCGTTTCAGGTGGAGAGCCCGCGGCCCACCCGCGACCACGTTTTGGGTACAAACTACATTTTTCGGCGCCTGCGGCTGGCATCTTTTGCATTCGCTCCCGGTGGAGAACCCGCGGCCCACCCGCGGCCCGAAACCACGTTCAGTGTACAAACCAATTTTTTGGGCGACTGCGGCGGGCTGCTTTTGCATTCCTCCCACGTGGAGGTGGAGAGCCCGCGACCCACCCGCGACCCAAACCACGTTCACTGAACAAACCAATGCCGCACAAGCGCGGCGGCGGATTTTTGCATGCCGTCTGAGCCCGCAAGGACCTCTTCAAGCCCCGCGCATCCACACCAGCCCGTCCAGCAACTTTGCCCTGGCGAGTTGCCTTGATCAGAGAAGGCGGGGAGCATAAAGTGGAAAAAAAGATTGCGTTGCAGTTATCTTGGGAAAGGAGGGGGAGGCAGGAGGAGTAAACAGGGGACGAGGAGAACGCGGAAGAAGAGAGGATGTAAGGAGAATGTGGAGAAAGAAAAGGAGGAGGAGCAGGAGGACGAGGAGGGGGAGGAGGAGGAGGACGAGGAGGGGGAGGAGGGGGATGATGATGATGATGATGATGATGATGATGATGATGATGATGATGATGATGATGATGATGATGATGATGATGATGATGATGGACGACAATGGGAGGACGATGATGGAGGCCGATGAGGGGGAGGACGACAATTGCAGGACGATGATGAAAGGACGAGGGGGGGAGAGGAAGGACGAGGAAGAAGAGGAGGAGGACGAGGTGGAGGAGGAGGAGGATGACGATGACGATGAGGGCGAGGACGAGGAAGAGGAGGAGGAGGAGTAGGAGGAGGAGGAGGAGGAGGAGGAGGAGAGCGCCATCGACAGGGAAGGTGGGGGCCACGAGGTCCGCCGGCTCGACGACGCCCGCGTCGCCCGCGCCCGCCCCCTCACTCTTATCCGCAATTGCGGGGTATCTATATATATATATATATATATATATATATATTAGAGAGAGAGAGAGAGAGAGAGATTGAGCCACAGACTTTGCTCCACAGAGATTACACAACGCAGGTTGCTAGAACCACACCGGTTGGGGTCCACGCTGGCTGACAGTCCGCTTTTGCGCGCAGGTCCGAGCGTTTCCCCATGCTCTTGAACACTGTCCGGCAGGCCCGCGGACCCTCGACCTCGGCGGGCCCGCGAGCGCACCCCCCGGAAGCGCAGAGGCACGCTGGCCTACATTCCTTACCACGCCCTGCCTCGGCTTCACGCCACCACCCTGCATCGCGTCCACCTCCCTTTTCACAGGGTCCGATGTGTGGTGCACTTCAACTTTCCCTGCCGAGCGATGGGGAAAAGCGCTCTGAAGCGGCCTCTTGCCACACGGGCCCGAGCATCCGAACGCCTGCGCTGCCCAAGATCTCGCAGTGAGTCCTCTCTCTGCGCAGTCCTTCCACATCACTCCCCTCCTCAAAAGATGCTGTCGTTGGTCCCCCGTGATGTGCTCCTTCCACGCCACAGGAAGCACTCCACAGGCACGAAGAGAGCCTCGCAACGCCCAAGAGAGGCCTCCAGAGGATCCCAGAGAAGAGCCTCACGGAGGCCCCACCGGTGGACTGCTTCCCCCTTCTGGTCGGCGGAGGGGCGTAGGCCTCTTGGGTGAGAAGAGGGGCCATGGAATCTGGAGGGAGGAGGAGGAGGGGGAGGAGGAGGAGGAGGAGGAGGGGGAGGAGGAGGAGGAGGGGGAGGAGGAGGATGGGGAGGGGGAGGAGGAGGAGGAGGAGGAGGAGGAGAGGGAGGAGGAGGAGAGAGGAGGAAAAGGGAGAGGAGGAGGATGAGGAGGAGGAGGAGGAGGGGGAGGAGGAGGAGGAGGAGAAGGAGGAGGAGGAGGAGGTGGTCCCGGCCATGATATCCACCCCCCTCAGTCATCCCCGCCCTTCTGGACGCCCCCGATTTCTGGCGCAGGCCTTGCCGAACTCCAGCAGCGCAGAAGCGCCGGACTTCTTCTTGGGGCCGCCCTGGCCAGTGGCGCCGTCCTCGCCCTCGGCGGCCGTCTGCAGCTGCCCGAGCTCGAGCGCGATCTCCTCGGGCACCCTCTGAGGGTCGATGCTCAGCTTCTCGCAGAAGCTGGCCACTCCCTCCTCCTTCTCCTGCTGCCGGGGGACAAAAGGTACCGATACCGCTACGGTGAGGGCATCGGATAGGGAACCACTGGACAAAGAATCCAGGGTCTCGAAGCCAGTGGAACTCCAGCCGTGTGTTGCCCATGAATATCACCGCCGCCCTCATCAGACAAGGAATCGTCCAGGGTCTGAAGCCTCCTGGACACATTCCTCAACGAACACCCCCACCGTACTCCCCGGCCCTCTCTCAAAATACATTCCGACGAGGGGCCCTCAGGACGCCCTCAAAAAAGGGAGCAAGCGAGGGGGGGCATCGGTATCTGTACATGTACCTCCTCTTAGCGGTTGTATAGATTGTTCTGGAAGCGGTAAGTGGTTGCTCTCATGCCCAGATCTTGCTGCTGGAAGCTCGGGAACCCTCTGGAAGCGGGGGGCGACCACTCGCAAGGAAGAAGCGTCGACTCCCTTCCACGAACAGACAAACGACGACAGAGACGGAAGCGGTACAAAAAACAACGTCCTCCAAGTTGCCAAAACGATGACAAAATATCACATGAAACGGGGCGGAGGCGCCCAGGGCCTTTCCGACGACAGCCGAGCTCCTGCTTGAAGATGGACAGGAGGATGTGCGAGGTGTCGACAGTGTTGGTGCTGAACTTCTTCGCCTCCTTGCAGGGGAGGCTTCAGGAGACCACAACACAGGTGCGGTGATGAAAGAAGAACTAGCGGAAACGGCGAAAATATAAACGTTTGACGGTCCGCGCGAATTTCTGCGATCTTCGCTGGAACTCCCTCCCTGGCGCGCGGAGCGCGCCAGCGCTGTCATGGGGGGTCCAACGCAGATCCAAGAAATCCGTGCGGACAGTCGAGACTGCATGTGTATGCTGTGCTTCTTCTTCGTGCTCGCTTTGACCCTAGCGCCCGCGGACTCAAAAAGCTTCTCTTCGAGATGAGAACTCTTGCTTTGACACATCGGGAAGCAGGTTCCCAGTCGGCATTCAACCTCGTCAGGTGCTCCGCGGGTCCGAAGGGATCATCGGGGAACCGAATAATTCCGAGGGTCAGCTGCTGGCAAGCCGCTCCCTTATGTGATGCGCCCACTGCACCAACTCTGGCTACCAAAGGGAGAACCAACAGTCCAGCGCAGAGACGAGGCATAACCATGTAAGACGCCAGGTGCTCGACTACCATATTTCGTGGGGACGGCCAATACGACAGACCTCTTGCAAGGGGTCTCGATCCCCTGGGAATTTGACCAGGAAACCGTACGCTCACCCCAAGTTGGCGGCGAGCGAGGGGTGTACTGAGAAGGAGAAGGCCTTCCCAGAAGGCGGCGGGACGTCTTGGAAGCTCTCGCGCCTTCTGAGAAGTTATCCGTGTTTTCGGGGAATGCTCAGAGAACTTCTCGGAAGGCTGGGGGACTTCCGAGCCTTCTGCCTTCTGGGAAGGCCCGCCCCTTCTCATTTCCCCCCTCTCTCGCTCGCCGCCGACCAAGGTGTAGGAGCGCTCACGCCAGCGCTGAGCTGTGACGACTCGGTACCGCCACCGCAGCGCCCACAGGACCACAATCACGGAGCGGCAGGTTGCCACAAAGCGAAAGAGAGAGGACCTCACGCCCCAAGGGACGACGCACGGGCCGTCCTGTGCCGATGCCGCGAGGCGGGAACCTATCTATATCCACCGCCTGGGAACCGACGTCCTGGTGCCCCAGCGGGCGGTGGACATGGACATATGTTGGCCCCAGGGGACCCGAATGTGTCCATATCCACCGCCTGCCGAGGTCCCCGAAACTTGATCCTCCAGGCGGTGGTCATGTACAAATTCCCGCCTCGGAGATGCGCCCACCCTGGCGCTCCCACTCCCGAGGAGCGCGGGAGGAGCGCCAGGCTGTTGGACGGGGGAGGCCCCCGGCAGACCAGACAGGACGGAGGGGCCCGGGCCTCGTCGGCGGCTTTTTCTCGGGGAGGGGGCCCCCCGGAGCGAGCCTGGGAAGCCCTGCGTTCCCTGCCCTCCAGGGGGAATACAAGAACCCAAAACGGCATAAGCACGAACACTTGGAGCTCCGCGCGGGCTTCTTGGATCTGCGTTGAACCTCCCCTCCATGGCGGGCGGGCGCAGCGCGCCAGGGGAGGCGTCGGAGGCGCCGCCAGGGCGGCCCAGCGCCGATCTAGAGATCCGCGCGGAGCTCCGAGAGTTCATGTTTATGCCGCTTGTGTTCCCCACATGGTTAGTGGGGCTCTTGCTTTCTTCCCACCCGCGTCGCACCCGCGTCTTTCTCACCCTCCCCACCTCCTCCTCCTCCTCCTCCTCCTCCTCCTCCTCCTCCTCCCCCTCCTCCTCCTGCTCCTCCTCCTCCTCCTCCTTTTCCTCCTCCTCCTCCTCATCCTCCTCCTCATACTCCTTTTCCTCCTCTTCCTCATCCTCCTCCTCCTCCTCACCTGCATTTGCGCACGCATCAGACAATCAGACACACGCGAACATGTTGTCACACGCGCATGCAAAGAACACGCGCACCGAGCACACTCTTACAGCACACAGATACACATACACAAGGTACGACATTGATGGCACCTTCCGTGGCGGGCACCGCTCCACCGTGGCGTTCGGTACTGAGACACACGTCCACATACAGCCGTGCACGCGTCATAAGCATTGATAGCACTTTCCGTGGCGGGTATTGCTCCACCGTGGCATTCGGTACTGAGACACACGTCCACATACAGCCGTGCACGCATCATGCATCACCCACACTGAGAGGCATGTGCACATACAGCGCATACATGTCATACACATACACAAGAAACGCGTACGCTGACCTAGACGGTCATATGACACGCGCACCAGAGCCACGCAGGCAACACGTGCACATCCACATGACGCGCACGCAACACAGCAAATACCCGCAAGACTCGCATGACGTGGCAGGCGTGGCACTTTCTCGACACCATAGTGGGTGCGCAGGGGGGGCTCCCCTACGCGGTTTCTATCTGTCCCAAGGTCGAGGAGCGTGGCAGGCGTGGCATTTCTCCACACCACACCACAGGGGTTGCGCAGGGCGTGGTCCCTGAGCGTGGACTCTACCTGTCCCAGGGTCGCGGGGCGTGGTAGGCGTGGCACATTCTCCACACCGCAGAGGGTGCGTAGGGGGTGGTCCATCTCCGCGGTCTCTATACCCGTCCCAGGGTCGCGGGGAGTGGCAGGCGTCGCAATTTGTTCACCATAGGGGGTGCGCAGGGGGTGGTCCCCCTACGCGGTCTCTATCCGTCCCAGGGTCGCGGGGAGCGGCAGGCGTAGCACTCTCTCCACACCACAGGGGTTGCACAGGGCGTGGTCCCTGAGCGTGGTCTCTATACGTCCCAGAATCGCGGGGCGTGGCAGGCGTGGCACTTTCTCCACGCCACGGGGGGTGCGCAGGGGGCAGGTCTCGTGGTTGCATTCCATAAGTTGCACTAGCATTGGCTTGTGTAGCATCTAGATCTGTAAATACTTTGGCTCAAGCCGGCTCGGAGCGCCAGGGTTTTTTCGCAGGCGCGCCGGGGTACCCAATCGAAGGCCGCAGCTGGTTGTTACGCCGGCGCGCCAGTCGGGCCGCCCAAAGTTGCCGTCACCCCAGCATGTGGCATCCCGTAGGTCGCATGTCTCGCCTCAGCTGTCATCACGCCGGAGAGATTAGAAGTATGTGGGGCTCCTCGGTGGCATATTCTTCGAGGGAAATGGGAGGAAGAATAGGGAGGAAATGCGGGATGTGCGCCCTGCGGGCGCACCCACTGGGGCCGTGCGTGGCTCCCTGTTGCGCCGCGAAGCGCGTGGGGCGTGCGGCGACAGGGGCACGCGAAGCGCGGAGGCGGGAGGAGGAGGAGGAGGAGGAGGAGGAGGAGGAGGAGGAGGAGGAGGAGGAGGAGGAGGAGGAGGGGGAGGGGGAGGAGGAATAGTAAGAGTAAGAGTGTGCTCGGTGCGCGTGTTCTTTGCATGCGCGTGTGACTGCATGTTCGCGTGTGTCTGATTGTCTGATGCGTGCGCAAGTGCAGGTGAGGAGGAGGAGGAGGAGGAGGAGGAGGAGGAGGAAGAGGAGGAAAAGGAGGGGGAGGAGGTGGATGAGGAGGAGGCGTGAGGAGGAGGAGGAGAAGGGGGAGGAGGAGGAGGAGGAAGAAGAGGAGGAGGAGGAGGAGGAGGAGGAAGGATAGGGAGGGAAGGATAGGGAGGAGGAGGAAGGATAGGGAGGGAAGGGTAGGGAGGGAAGGGGCAGCTCCCGGCCCGTCTCTCCGCCCCTCGCCCTCGCGCGGCGGCGGCCCGCAGGCGGCCGCTGCCGGGGCGGCTCACGGGCTCAGCTCCGGCCGCGCGGCGCCGGTGCGGAGGCGGGGCCTCGCGGCTGTGGGAGAAAAAAAACACTGTGGGAAAAAAATACACTAACACACAAAAAAACAAAAAAACACTGTGGGAAAACAAAACACAAACACACAGAAAAACACACACACACACACACAACAAAAACACACACACACAAAAAAACATACTGTGGGAAAACACACACAACAACAACAACAACAACAACAACAACAACAACAACAACAACAACAACAACAACAATCATTTTACCCGAACGCTCAGTGTTCTCACCAGTGCCAGGGTTTTCATGCGACGCGAGACAATACCCCCACTTCGTGGGGGGGCAGTTCAAGCTCTACCAAATATCCAAACGACTCTTCGCGACCACCCAAACCCAGCTTCCCGCCCTATGACGTTGGGACACTTCACTTCGTGGCGTGCGGACGACCGTGGCTACTACACTGGCGTGGGGTACACACCCACAGAACTTGGTCACTTATTCGGGGCGCGCGTGTGCCCAGCATCCTGCAATTGTGACATACAATACATGACACAGACAGACAGAGAGAGAGACAGAGAGCAGACAGAGAGAGAGACAGAGAGAGCGGAGTTGGTCACATTTTTGGGGCAAGTTCCTGAGATCGTCGTGTTTTTTGTTGGTCTTGCGCGCGCGAATGTCCACTTTACTTTTTTTTGCAAGGGATGTTGAAATTTGATTATGTAAGAACAAGAAAAAGTAGCTCGCGCGAGCTTATGTAACATAAATGTTGAAAAACCATTGGTTTTGTGGGAGTCGGACAGCGCGCGCGGGATGAAATTTGGACATTTTTTTTTGAAAAACCATTGGCTTTTTGATGTTTTTATGTTGAAATCGTTACGAAACCTAAGGTTCTGGAAGGATTTCGTCTTGCGCGCGCGAATGTCCACTTTACCTTATTTTTTGCAAGGGATTATTGAAATTTGATTATGTTAGAACAAGAAAAAGTAGCTCGCGCGAGCTCATGTAACATAAATGTTGAAAAACCATTGGTTTTGTGGATTCGGACAGCGCGCGCGGAAGGACATTTTGACAATTTTTTCTTAAAAAACCATTGGGTTTTTGATGTTTTTATGTTAAAATCGTTACGAAACCTAAGGTTTTGGAAGGATTTCGTCTTGCGCGCACGAATGTCCACTTTACCTTATTTTTTGCAAGGGATTCTTGCAATTTGATCAAGTAAGAACAAGAATTTTCATTTTATGATGTTTTTTGCAAGGGAAAACGAGCGTCAACAAAACAACCGGATCCGGTACCAATCGTTTTGCCTGAGACTTCCTCACGAAAATGATGAAAATGTGGCTGCGGCCTAGGCGCGGCGGGGGGGTCGTGCACCAGGGGTCCCAACAATAATTATTCTTAAGAAGAAATAATGTTCAACAACAACAACAACAACAACAACAACAACAACAACAACAACAACAAAAACAAAAACAAAAACAAAAACACACACACACACACACTGTGTGTGTGTTTTCCCCCACGTGTGTGTGTGTGTTCTTTTTTCCCACAGATTGGTCCCAGAGATCCGACGCTCCAAAAAAATTGGGGCGGCGGGACTTTGGGCAGTTTTCGGCCTCGGGGAGTCCTCTCGCCGCGCCTCGGGAGCGAGCAAAAATGTGGCTCGGGACGAAGCACAGGCCCCGGGGGAGTGGTCTGGACATCCAGGGCCCAGGCATCGGAAGAATTGGAGCAGCCAGATATCTGGGGTCAGCAGCCGCTCAACTTTTTGGATGGCGTGTCGCTCCGCCGGTTCTGGCCCACCACGCTTCAGCGCGACACGCTATCCACTTCCCAGTCCCCAGGCGTCCACGTGCCGAGCCTTTCCCAGCCTCCCGCCCCGCGGAGCGGAGCGACATGCTTTTTGCTTGCAATGCATGGCGTGTCGCCAGGGCCGCCGCGGCAACACGCTATCCAAACGTTCCCGACCGCAAATCGGGTCGGACCGGACGTGCACCGAATCGGACGCGCAGCATCGGCGCGGAGGAGCTGGACTCGCCAAGATGCAGAACTGCGCCGTACGAGCGTCGGGCCGCGTCGGACTCTGGAACTATCTTAAACGCATCGAACAAGAATCAGCGGAATCGATGGCGAATCGGATCGATCGAATCGAAGCTGGCGCTGCCTGGCGGCTGCTGGTTCTTGTTGTACATGTACTGCCCGACGTTCGAGACCACGACCAGGACGACGCCGAGCATGAGCGCGTTCGTGAGCGTCCAGCCGCCGGAGTCCTCGGACTTCGAACTCGACTGGGCCGCGGGGGCGCCACTTCCCACGGCCATGCCGCTGCCCGTGGCCACCTGCTGCTTCATCGCGACCATCACGGGCAGCATGCTCTCCGCATCCCGAAGGGCAGTCGGCGCGCTATATCGAGAGAAATTGAAGATGTCGCCGTTGCTGAGCGACACCGCGGAGGAGAGCGTGACGATGTCCTTGATGAGCGTGACGTTCAAGTCCTCCGACATGTTCTGGATCAAGGTCTGAGTGACTTTGTAGTTGGAAACCCGCTGGAACAGGCTGACGATCCTGAAGGAGAAGTTCTTGCTGGAAAGCGACATTGTCTCCTCGAAGCCCTTGACACGAACCGCGGCGTGGTCCAGGAGCTTCTCATACTTGTCCGCGATCTCCGGCGCGGCGCCGGCCTCCCCACGGGGGCCCTGCAGGCCCTCCACGCCTGCCGGGCCAGGGGGTCCGCGCGGGCCCTGCCCAGGGCTACCAAAAGCAGTGGAGGTAAGTTCTGGCCTCCTCCAGCCAGCCCTCCTCCTCCTCCTCCTCCTCCTCCTCCTCCTCCTCCTCCTCCTCCTCCTCCTCCTCCTATTCCTCCTCCTCCTCCTCCTCCTCCTCCTCCTCCTCCTCCATCTTTGGACTACATTCCAACCAGCGCTGCTCTGGCCCTGGTTTTTCCAGGCAGACGGGGGAAAGCGCCCAAAACTCTGGAAATGGTTTGGGGGCTGGCGCCGACGACCTGCATGCCACATGGGCTGCGGTGTCGGGGCCGCCTGTCTTCAGAGTCTAAAGTAGGTCACCCGACTATCTGCCAACGAATCAGCGAGCAATGCAGCCTGCAGCCGGCAGGACATGCAAGGTAGTCTCTGGTCCTCCTCCTGTTCCTCCTCCTCCTCCTCCTCCTCCTCCTCCTCCTCCTCCTCCTCATCCCCATCATCATCATCATCATCATCATCATCATCATCATCATCATCATCATCATCATCATCATCATCATCATCATCATCATCATCATCATCATCATCATCATCGTCGTCATCATCATCATCATCAGCATCATCATCATCAGCATCATCACCACCAGCATCATCATCATCATCAGCATCATCATCAGCAGCAGCAGCAGCATTTCACCATCATCATCATCAGCAGCAGCAGCAGCTTCATCAGCAGCATCATCAGCATCATCAGCATCATCATCAGCAGCAGCAGCATCTTCACCATAACCATCAGCAGCAGCAGCAGCATCATCATCATCATCATCATCATCATCATCATCATCATCATCATCATCATCATCATCATCATCATCATCATCATCATCATCATCATCCCCCCTTCCTCTTCCCCCCCACTCCCAGGCACGCGGGCACATCGCAATATCCCGATCTTTTGTGCCGCCCCGACCTGCGGGCCAGGTGGGCCGTCGGCTCCGGCATGTCCGGCCACGTTGGCACCAGAGCGGCCACGCGGGCCTGGGGCGCCACGAGGGCCCTGCTCGCCCATGGCCCCGCCGTCGCCAGGCGGGCCGTGCACGCCGACGATGAGGTTGCCCGACGGGCCCTGCGCCCCCCGCGTGCACGGCTTGGGATCGTCCCCCTCCGCCTCGCGCCGATTCATCCTCAGCCTGGAGCCATCTGCTTCGAGCAAGGCGCCGCCGTTGGACGAGACGGCAGCCTGGAGCGACACGTGCTGAGTGCTGCCCGGAGCCTTCGCAGCGCCTGCTGGCGGGCTCAGCTTCACGACGAGCGCCAGAAGCAGCGGAATCCGCAAGCGCGCCATGACGGTTCGGACAACAAGCTTAGGTCGTTTCTTTAGGAAGCGTGGAGCGCTCGAGCTGATGGCACCCACTTGGGCCGAGGCATGGGGGTACTGCAAGTAGACGGGAGACCCTAACCGGACCAGAGTGGACGAAGGGATCCAAATTTCGTCAGCGGCTTTCCTCTTGGAGGACACCCCTCCAAACGAACCTGGGTATCCCTGATCGTCTGGGTTCGGTCGGGCGCTCCCTGCCCTCCAGAGGAGGAGGATAGCGAAAAAGGGGAGCGGGGGGATGATGAGAAAAGCAGAGGCAGATCCCGACCTTGCTTCCACTTCTCACTCAAGCGGTGGCACTCGCTTAGAGAAACGAGCTCTGTAAACCCACACTTTTTCTGGGCCTGCGATCCTGGTGTATACGGGATCCTGGTGTATGCATGTTTCGCTGATTCCCCAGGACAACGGGGAAACAAGTGTACACCACACCGCCCCAGTGTCGTCCCCAACCCTGAAAAAGTCCTGGGACTGGAAAACTGCCCGCCACTGGTAATGCAGATACTCCAAGTTTCCGACGATGCGATAGCAGCCGCAGCCCCGTCGCGCAGCGCCCAGCCGCGGCGCGAACCTGGCGGTGCCGCGCCCCAGGCGGCTCACGGGCTCAGCTTCGGCCGCGCGGCGGGGGCTGGGCGCGGGAACGCGCTGGTGCGGCGGCGGGGCCTGGCAGCAGGATTGGTCAGCAGCCGCTCAACTTTTTGGATGGCGTGTCGCTCCGCCGGTTCTGGCCCACCACGCTTCGGCGCGACACGCGATCCACTTCCCAGTCCCCAGGCGTCCACGTGCCGAGCCTTTCCCAGCCTCCCGCCCCGCGGAGCGGAGCGACATGCTTCTTGCTTGCAGAGCATGGCGTGCGGCGTGTCGCCGGGGCCGCCGCGACGACACGCTATCCAAAAGTTCCCGACCGCAAATCGGGTCGGACCAGACTTGCACCAAATCAGACGCGCAGCATCGGCGCGAAGTCGAAGTCGGATCGAGCTGGACTCGCCAAGATGCCCAAGTCAGCCATGCGAGCGTCGGGCCGCGTCGGACAGCGGAATTATCTCAATCGGATCAAACAAGAATCAGCGGAATCGATGGCGAATCGGATCGATCGAATCGAAGTGAGTGCTGCCTTGCGCTTGCTGGTTCTTGTTGTACATGTACTGCCCGACGTTCGAGACCACGACCAGGACGACGCCGAGCATGAGCGCGTTCGTGAGCGTCCAGCCGCCGGAGTCCTCGGACTTCGAACTCGACTGGGCCGCGGGGGCGCCACTTCCCACGGCCATGCCGCTGCCCGTGGCCACCTGCTGCTTCATCGCGACCATCACGGGCAGCATGCTCTCCGCATCCCGAAGGGCAGTCGGCGCGCTATATCGAGAGAAATTGAACATGTCGCCGTTGCTGAGCGACACCGCGGAGGAGAGCGTGACGATGTCCTTGATGAGCGTGACGTTCAAGTCATCCGACATGTTCTGGATCGAGGCCTGCTTGACTGTGTAGTTAGAGACCCGCTGGAACAGGCTGACGATCCTGAAGGAGAAGTTCTTGCTGGAAAGCGACATTGTCTCCTCGAAGCCCTTGACACGAACCGCGGCGTGGTCCAGGAGCTTCTCATACTTGTCCGCGATCTCCGGCGCGGCGCCGGCCTCGCCACGGGGGCCCTGCAGGCCCTCCACGCCTGCTGGGCCAGGAGGTCCGCGCGGGCCCTGCCCAGGGCTACCAAAAGCAGTGGAGGTAAGTTCTGGCCTCCTCTGGCCAGCCCTCCTCCTCCTCCTCCTCCTCCTCCTCCTCCTGCTCCTCCTCCTCCTCCTCCTCCTCCTCCTCCTCCTCCTCCTGCTCTTCCATCTCTGCTCCTTTTCAAAATCCTCCCTGTCGCACCTCCAGACGTGTCGGTGCGAACCAGAAGTTTGAAACTCGTAACAGCTGCAAGGATGCAGGGCCGGTCGTTTTCGAAATGCGGCTCTCGCCTTTGCGCTGCACACATTCGTCTTCAAAGTTTGCGACAGCTCCCAGAATGGAGGGCAGGCCGTTTTCAAAATGGGGCTCTCGCCTCAGCACCGCGTGAAATCGTCTTCAAACCTTGCAGAAGCTTCAAGGATGGAGGGCGGACCGTATTCAAAATGTGGCCCTCGTCCTAACGCCGCGCACGCTTGTCTTAAAAAGTGTGCAACGGATGCAAAGACGGAAGGCAGCTGCTTTTCAAAAAGGGGATCTCGACTTCGCGCCACCCATCTTCGTATTAAAGTGCTGTAGCAGCTCCAAGGATGGAGGGCGGGCCGTTTCCAAAATGGGGCTCTCGCCTCATCGCCGTGGGCATTTCCTCTTCACAGCGTACACTAGTTTGGAGGAGGAAGAAACAACAGTTACACGGATGGAGGGGAAGTCCTTTTTCGAGAGGAGGGATCTCGCGGGACACCTCGTTGATTTGTATGAGCACGGCTTCCCGCATTCCTGGTCAAGCGCCAGAACGATGAAAGGCAGCTCCTTTTCAAAATGGGGCCGTCGATAAAATGGCAGGCCCATAATTGGCGCTGGTCTTCCGAGGGGGCGCTTCCTGCAGTGAAAAACAAAGCGTGCAAGGGCGCTTGAGGAGGAAACTAAAAACGGAAGCGCGCGTTACAGCATCGTTTATGCATCTTGGGCTTACTCTGGACTTCCTCCTCCTCCTCCTCTTCTTCTTCTTCATATTATTGTTCTTATTATTATCAGTATGTGTCTTCTTATTCTTAGTTTTCCTCCTCTTCCTCTTCTGCCTCATATTCCTCCTCTTCCTTCTCCTCCTCCACCTCCTCCTCCTCCGCCTCCTCCTCCTCCAGAGGCTCTTCGGAGGCAACCCAGGGGCCCTCCAGACGCACTTCAGAAGCTCTCTGGAGCCTCCGCCTCCGCCTCCTCCTCCTCCTCCTTCTCTTCTTCTTATTTTTCTTCATAGTATTATTAGTCTTCTTATTCTTATTATTCTTATTATTATCGTTATTCTTCTTATTATCATTACTAGTCGTATTATTATTATTATTAGTAGTAGTAGTCTTCTTATTCTTCTTAGTATTAACCTTATTATTCTTCGTATTATTATTCTTCGTATTATTATTACTATTATTATTACTATTATTATTATTATTGTTATGTTTCTTCTCCTTCTTCGTATTATTCCTCCTCCTCCTCCTCCTCCTCCTCCTCCTCCTCCTCCTCCTCCTCCTCCTCCTCGTCCTCCTCTGCCTCCCTCCTTCCCCCACTCCCAGGCACGCGGGCGCATCGCAATATCCCGATCTTTTGTGCCGCCCCGACCTGCGGGCCAGGTGGGCCGTCGGCTCCGGCATGTCCGGCCACGTTGGCACCAGAGCGGCCACGCGGGCCTGGGGCGCCATGAGGGCCCTGCTCGCCCATGGCCCCGCCGTCGCCAGGCGGGCCGTGCACGCCGACGATGAGGTTGCCCGACGGGCCCTGCGCCCCCCGCGTGCACGGCTTGGGATCCTCCCCCTCCGCCTCGCGCCGATTCATCCTCAGCCTGGAGCCATCTGCTTCGAGCAAGGCGCCGCCGTTGGACGAGACGGCAGCCTGGAGCGACACGTGCTGAGTGCTGCCCGGAGCCTTCGCAGCGCCTGCTGGCGGGCTCAGCTTCACGACGAGCGCCAGAAGCAGCGGAATCCGCAGGCGCGCCATGACGGTTCGGACAACAAGCTTGGGCCGTTTCTTTAGGAAGCGTGGACCGCTCGAGCTGACGGCGCGCGGGACACAGCCGAACCGTCTTGATCCAACGCGGCTACGCTGTGAGCAGGAGAAGGAAAAGCGTACGTAGCTGGTGGGGAACAGGGCGCCAGAGTAAGATACCAGGGGGTTCTACAGTCGAACCGACTTCGGTGGTACGCCGACGAATGAGAAAGAAGAGGACGACGATGTCAGGGACAAAACCGTTGGCAAGGCGAAGGGGTGAGCATGGAGGAGGAGGAGGAGGAGGAGGAGGAGGAGGACGAGGAGGAAGAGAAGGAGGGTAGAGATGGGGGTAGGGGTCGTGATAGATGAGCTAGAAGTCGAGAAGGATGAGGATGGAGGAGCAGTGATAAGGATGAGGAAGGCGACAAGGAGAAGGAGAAACGGAATGAATGGGAACAGTAGGAAGAATACGAAAATGAGGAGAGGGAGAAGCGATCAGGCAGATGAGGAGCAGGACGAGGGAAAGGGAAAGAGGAAGAGGCTCGGATGCGAGAGTAGGCGAAGGAGGAGGAAGACAAAGCCGCGGAGAAGGAAGCGGAGGAGGAGAAGGTGGGAGAGGAGAAACAGTGAAAGAGACGAGGAAGCGAGGGAGGAGGGCCTCCCACCCCCCCTGCTCCCCCGAATTCGCTTCCACTCCACCCGCTTGACACCACCTTCTCATCTTCCTCCCCCATTCATCCGGCACAGTACAGTCGGGAGCTGAAAGAAGGAACGCTAAATAAGGAACGAAGCCCCTTCTTGGCCCTGTAAGCGCCTCCGTACCCCAGGAGGGCAAGAGGAACAGCACTGGAGGAACCTAAGGAACATCGAGCCCCTTCCGAACCCAAACTCTTCCTTAGTTCAGCGCCTCGACTGTAATGGAAAAGTCGCGGCGTCGTGACAAAGCACGACCCGATCTCCCGCCCCTGGCCTTTTTGCGGCACGTCTCGAGCACTCCGCGGGGGTCTCAGGGCCCGAGCCGAAGCAGATGCGCCAGTCGCGACTCTGCCACGACACCCGGCACTCCGAGGGCCCTGCAGGCCTCGATGCACCTCCAGGCCACGAACACAACCGAGACCATCAGAAAACCCCATGCAACCCTCCGGCAAACACCTATGGTCCTCCTCCTCCTCCTCCTCCTCCTCCTCCTCCTCCTCCTCCTCCTCCTCCTCCGCCTCCTCCTCCTCCTTCGCCTCCTCCTCCTCCCTCCTCATCCTCCCCCTCCTCCCTCGAACTCCTCCTTTTCATTCTCCTCGCTGGAGGGTCGACCCCCCGACCTGCATCCACCAGAAATCAGGGCTCGAGACCCTCTGGAGTCCATCCTGGCCGGTTTGGCACCCCGGATCGACTGTTCTTGATGGCCCTGTGGGCCACAACGGGCTTCCAGAGGCGGACGGTGTGAAAGAAACTCGATCGCCGCCCTCTGCGCCCCTCCTCCTCCTCCTGCTGCTTCTTCTCGTCTTCGTCCCCTGCCCCTCGCGAGGATCCCAGGAGACGCACCAGGATCAGTCAGCACCGAATCCGGAGACCGGACCGAGAAGAAAGGTGCGTCTGATCGGGCCGCACGGGCACGGAGTCGAAACAGATGCGCCGTGCTGGCATCGGGCCGTCGGAATATCGGAATCGAACCGGAGCGGGGCGGCAAAATCGACACGGGCCCAAATTCTCGATGTCGGCGATCTTCGCAGAGGCGAGAGCGGGGAACACGATGGTCTGGGGTCCCTCCTGGGCCCTGGAAGGGCCCCAGATCTGTCCGAAATCGGCGCGTTTCCCCAAAACGCCGAGCACGGCATCCCCAATTCGGTTTACGGTTGAGATGGGGCGTTCAGCGTATACCTCCAGCGCCGCAGGTACACGGGCTAAGCGCCATGCAAAGATACTCGTAGCGTGTACACCCTCTTAGCGTGATTACCAGCTAACTGTGCCCCCCCTGCACCCCCTCTGCACCTCGTCTTGGGGGACCTGGCGTGTACCCGTCACGCGGCCCCAGACCCGACCCAGAAGGAGAGCAGCAACGTATACGCTAAGCGCTCCACCCCAACCGCGAACGTAGGCGTTTCGCCTGAGACATCCTCGTAAAATGGGCAGGTCGGGAGTGAGGAGGAGGAGGAGGAGGAGGAGAAGAGGGATGAGGAAGAGGAGGAGGAGGAGGAGGAGGAGGAGGATGCGGCAGTAAAAAAGTAAAGGCGCTAAGGGGATTGAGTGTAGTCCTGGCCACAACAGAGCTGGGCTGGCAAACTATGTATCCCTGCGCATTGAATATGTATGCGGGGCCGCGGAGGAGGAGGAGGATAACAACGACGACGACGACGACGACGACGACGACGACGACGACGACGATTACGACGACGATTACGACGACGACGACGACGACGACGACGACGACGACGACGACGACCACGCGACGACGACAACGGCGGCGACGACGACGGGGAGGACGAGGAGGAGGAGAGAGGAGGAGGAGGAGAGGGGCCCGGACGCCGTGCTGGTTTCGGGTGCAAATGCCTTCGCGCGCACGACAAGTGAGCCACGCACTGCAGGTTGCTTGGATCCGCCCGCCTCCTCCTCCTCCTCCTGCTTCTCCTCCTCCTCCTCCTCCTCCTCCTCCTCCTCCTCCTCCTCCTCCTCGCTCGCTCGCTCGCTCGCTCGCTCGCTCGCTCGCTCGCTCGCTCCCTCGCTCCCTCCCTCCCTCCCTCCCTCCCTCCCTTCCTCCCAGTCCGTGCGGGACTGGGCTGGGCCAGGCGACGCTGGGCTGAGACACACGGCCTCCTGCCCTGGACCTCTCGGAGCCCGCCTCGGGCCTTGGGACCGACGGGTCGGGTGCTGGCCCCTGCCCTCTGGTCCAAAGCACGGCTGGGCGCCCTCGTCGTTCGGAGCGCACTCTGGCTCCCGAGTGGGGCGTCCATAGGACGAAACCAGGACGAGGACAGAATCGGATGAGGAGACGTCGGGGATCTCTGAGATCCAGCGGTTCTGGAGGATGTCTCGGGCGCCGCGGCCTTCCCAGAGCGCGATGGAATCGCTCTGAGAGCGTTCTGGAACACTCTGGAACGCATTTATCCTCGTCCCAGCCCCGTCCGAGTCCTGAGACTTCCGCCACTGGCCCCGCGTCCCTCCCGCCCCTCCCGCCCCCTCCGTCCCCCTCCCCCCGCCTGAGCCGGAGCGTGTGACACGCTCCGCTGGCTGGCCTCTCGAGAGGGCTGCCTGGGGAGCCTCGGGAGGGGGGTGCCTGCTTTCCGGTGCTGGCGGAGGGTTGGGTGGGCAGCCTGCGGGTCTGCGGGCTCGGGCTCGGGAGTTCGCATCGTGCCCTGAGGCCGGATGGCCCGTGCTGATGCCAGTGCTGCTGCCCCCACCTATCCGCAGCTGCACCTCTCAGCTGAGCCCAGCCCCGAGCCTCCTGATCCCGCCTGCCGAACCCGGGGCCTCCACGAACCCACGCCATCGATGGATTCGGAAGGCTCCAGAGCTGGTCCGGAGGCCAAGAGGCAGAGCCACTTGAACGGCGAGAGCGACGCCGCGCAGCAGGTAGTCTCGCAGCGGGCTGTGCAGCGCTACTGGAGGGAGCACCGTCCCAGCCCGTGGACCACCCTGTCGTGAGCTGCGGAATCCCAGGCCAGGAATCGCCTAGAGGGCCATTGCAAGGAACCGCTGTCCATCTGCCGAGGCAGTCAAGTCGTGGTTCCCCTGCTCCGTCTCTTTCCTGTAGCGTAGAGCTCCCCCATCCTCCCCCACCCCTGCCTCCACTGAGGCCGCGGCCCACGTGACCGGGTAGTGGTCCCCTCTCCTCCTCCTCCTCCTCCTCCTCCTCCTCC